AGGGAGCAGCTGTAGTTAGCTCTAACTGAATCAGCAGCTCTATAATGGAGATAAAACGCTGGAGCTCTGTCTAGCTGTCAGTTTAGATCCTCCTCCTCTAACTGCAGCTGCGCTGCCTGTGAAGCTCGGCTCTCTGAGGCCCTCCTGAGCAGCCTGGAAGCCGTCTCCCCCAGCAGATGGTCATTATTAGCAACAATGAAGGCCAGCCCACAGGGCCAAATGGAATAACTGAAACCCATTTCCTCCTGAGCTGAGTAGGAGCCTCCTCTGCTGCTAACAACCTCCCTCCATCTCCAGCTTCTGCTGCTGGTGTTTTGTTTTCCACTGGCAGATCCAGCATTTCATTTTTTCCTACTCGAGCTCTAAATTGGTTCCTGTAGATGTTGGGGATGCACACGAAGCACGTGTTCCACAAACGTGAGGTCACCTAACTGGATCCCAGGGCTCTCTAGAGCTAACAAAGGTCCCAGGTTCGGGTCCACAAACAGCTGTGGGGATTTCAGGTGAGGGACAGATTTCTGTAGTTACTTCCTAAATGAATAAAACTCTAAACTACAACTACACAGAAGTTTATAACAAGAATCTGTGACCAAAATACTGAACTGATGAAAGACTGGAAGGAAAAGCTGAAGTAAAATAAACTAAGACTGATTATTTAGGTTTTAAAGAAGCCTAACTCTTTACGTCTTCATTGCCTTTTTACCTAAATAAAGTTGAAAAACTGTAAAGACAAATACAAACTTTAAAAAGAGCATTTAAACGTCTTTTTTGCCACAACAACATTCAAACTTAAAAGGGATTTTTGGTTCTGGTCTGGTCTGCTGGCTCCAGTTTCTTACAGAAATACAGCAAAACACATCAGTTGTGATTAAATGTTAAAATGATGATTCTGGAAATAAAACATCCTCATGAAGGATTAGTTCCCATTGGTGGCTATCAACGCTGCGTTCACAGACCAAAGCAAAATCAGATCATAGGTTGGGTCGATCATCCTGATGATTGGTGGACTGATTCTGATCACACGCTGATTTATCTGGTTTCTTATGTTTCAGACTTTGTGTTTTAGAGCAAAGAAATCTACATTTCTTTGTCCTTTGTGTTAAGTTACATTTTCTGTTTCTTCCAACTATTTAAATCTCACCATCAATATAAAATGTTCTGCCTGCTTCAGTCATTTCTTTAGTTTCTTTATCCTGAAGCCTTTCTCTCTGTCCTCCCTGCAGGCATTTAGTCGGTTTTATTGGGATTATAAAACAGTTGCAGCATTTAATTACTGCAAAGCTACAATAAATTGACTTTTCGTATTAATGTAGTTGTTCTGTTTTTATTGTTGATGAACAAGAGGAAAAGATGCTTAAGTAAAATAAAACAAGACTGAAATTGCATCACATCACTGGATGAGAGCGCTAACCCCCCACCTCCCCCCTGCTGCTCCGTCTCTGCAGGAATGCTAAGAAGGAGTCTGACCTGGAGGCTGCTTTGCTCCGGCTCAGGGACCTCGAGGCCATGCTCAACTCCAAAGATGCGGCCTACACCACCGCCCTGGGAGAGAAACGAGCCTTGGAGGCTGAGCTGAAGGACCTGAAGGCCCAGCTGGCCAAGGTAAAAGCAGCCCGATTCTTGACAAAGCCTTGTGTGGTTTGTTTGGTCGGGAAGGGTTCGTTTCCTCCCTTGAAGCGAATCCTTATCCAAGGAGTGAAGGATGATTTGTGCTTCTGTGGTTTAGCATCATATCTGTTTCCTACTGTAAAAGTTCCTTCAGAGGAATGAGGACGTCTCCCTTTAACCCACAGACTCACTCGTTGGGTCAGACCTGTTGGTCAGAAAGCGAGTCTCTCTGTGTGCGTTTGGTTTTCCTGCCTCAACATCCCCCAGAGGGAGAGTCACTCCCTGTAAAGCTGCTGCACATCTCTGCTGTTGGTTTTATCAATGAACCCGATCAGTCACAGAGCTGCAGCTGTGGCTTTGCTCCACCTAGTGGTCCTAATGAGGAACTGCACCCATCATTCCCTAATCTCCTGTTCCCCAGCTGGATGTCAATTTGGCCGACGCCAAGAAGCAGCTGCAGGATGAGATGCTGAGGAGAGTGGACGCTGAGAATCGCCTGCAGACCCTGAAGGAGGAGCTGGAGTTCCAGAAGAACATCTATGCCGAGGTCAGTGCCCCTCACCTCAACTCATCTACTTTTGCTTTAATCTGTCCCAGTTCTCATCTTTTCTGCAGGATATTGATCTGCTTCCAACCACCTACTGGTTGGTTTTTCATTCCCCCCTCTAGACTTGCTCATGCATCTCACCTCTCCTCGAGATCTGCTTCCAAAACAAAAAAAGAAACCTTGTCAAATACAGAAGTACTTGGAATATAATTCTCCACATGATTATGTTTTAATCTTTATTGGTTTTGGCTGTAGCAGGGATTTAAATTGAAATGCAACGAGGAGCTGTTATAGATTTTCCTGCTGGAGCTCTAAACAAGTAATTAGTGCAACGAGCTGATCAATGCAGTTCAGTTTATCAGGTAGAGCAGGTCTCTGCAGGTGGAGGGCTAATTGTTGTTTATGGCACATGAAATGAGCTAAACTTCACAGATGAGTTGGATGTCAGCGATGCTTTGATGTCTGAACACAGGAAATGCGTGAGTCCAAGCGCCGGTACGATTCCCGGGTGGTGGAGATCGACAGCGGGCGGCAGCTGGAATTTGAGAGCAAACTGGCAGAAGCTCTGACTGAGCTGAGAGCGCAGCACGAGGAGCAGGTCCGCATGTACAAGGACGAGCTGGAGAAGACCTACAACTCCAAGGTAGTCACCAAGAGGTTGAACGGTTCCTCAGCTGTCTGAACAAAAGGATGCAAAGTATTGATTCATTCTCCGTTAGTCCAACTCCCCAGACTTCCTCTGACGGGCAGAACCACTGCTCTGTGGGGATCCTGACGAGGAATCTGATTAAAACCAGCTCTGTTGATGAACACATTGTTTTCCAGGATTAGAAACCAGATTCTCTTGATTATTTTCAGCTGGAAAACGCTCGTCACTCCGCTGAGAGGAACAGCAACATGGTTGGAGCGGCTCATGAGGAGCTGCAGCAGAGCCGCATCCGCATGGAGAGCCTGACCAGCCAGCTGTCCCAGATCCAGAAGCAGGTACTCGGACAGCTTTTACTAAACTTTACTAAACTCCGAAACCCCACCCAGCCGGCGGTTTCATTGCATCTGAGCGTTCTTCTCAGCTGTCAGCAAGTGAGTCCAGAGTTCGGGAGCTGGAGGAGTTGCTGAGCCGGGAACGGGACACGATGAGGCGACGTCTGGAAGACAAGGACCGAGAAATGGCAGAGATCCGAGCTCGCATGCAGCAGCAGCTGGACGAGTACCAGGAGCTGCTGGACATCAAGCTGGCCCTGGACATGGAGATCAATGCTTACAGAAAGCTGCTGGAGGGGGAGGAGGAGAGGTGAGGAAACATGGTGGCAGCATCTTCATCGGCCCAAGGATGTTTCTCAATGTCAAGGCGCCTGCTTGCTTACAAGGACACTGTGCTTGCTTGGTCAAAGAAAATGGTTTAATGGAACAGACTTGGCTCACGTGACTGTGGCTCAGAGATGACCTCACGTCATGTCACGTGAGGTAAAGTTATATTTTACGTATGAGTTTCAGTATACCCAAACCCTGTATAACGAGCCTTTTACTGTTAATGGTTTATATTGGTTAAATAAATATGTAAACGCATTACTTCCTGCTAGCCACTGAAGCTACAACTAACCAACCCTAGCTAACTGCTTTGGATCTAAAAAACATTGTAGATATCAGCCCGATTGCTATAATTAGTTTAATTACATTTAAACTGGAAATTTGTCCCTGAAGTAGCTGCTGGCTCCTAATCTGCCATCCTTTAGAAAATGCCACGCTGTATTCTGGGAAATGTTTGACTGAGAGAAGGCTAAAAGACACCTCCTGTGGATCCTTGCTCAGCTAGTTAAACGGCTAACAAACGGAGGGCAGATGCCTCGGCAGCACATGAACATTGGAACACACCTTGTTGGTTGCTGATGTTGTATCTCCTAGGCAACCAGGGCGGGACCAAGACATCAAGGCAACGTTCCTTGACATTGAGAAACATCCCAAGCAAAAAATACTAGAGGCCATCTTTATGTTCCGACGTCTGTTCACGGGTTCATTAATAATTTTCTCCCAAAAGTTTTAACTAATTCAAACTTTACCTCACACTCCTCGCTGGTGTTTCTGTGGGTTGAAAGTTTCAGATCTGCAGACTAAAGTGAACAAACACCGGCGGTTCATCAGGATTTGTTGTCATTAGTTTATTTTCAGCTGCTGAAATCATGAAATGCTCTGACTTTTATCTGGAGCTGGACTCGCTCACCAGGACTCTGTAAGGGCAGGAGCCGCTTTGTAATGGATGAGTTACCGGTGAAGATCAGAAAGCAACGCCGGCTCATGATCACTTCTGTTTTTGTTCATTTTCAAGTTTTATCTCTGATCCCAGAAACACAAAAGCCTGAATTAAGACCATCATGAGATTTTAGTGATGACTTCCTCTTCCTGCATAAAATAAAAAGTTCCTAGATCTTTTTAATCTCTAAGTGAATCCAGTCAGGCTCCACTCGCATCACCTGATGCATATTGTAGATACTCAGATGGTTCTTAATGACAGATCTCAGATATGTTTCAGTTTGGGACTGGTCCAATTGAAGCCCAGGAATAAACGTGTCCTTCATCTCCTCTCCAGACTGCGTCTGTCTCCCAGCCCCCAGCTAAAGGTCACGGTGAGCCGCTCCTCTGGGTCGAGTCGTGTGCACCACCATCACTCCTCCTCCTCTGCTGCTGCTGGCGGCGGCGGTGCTGCCGGCTTGGTTGCTAGTGCTGCTGCCTTGGTCACTGGTGCTGCCTTGGCCACCAGCAGCCGTAACTCCTCCGGTACGAGCATCTCCAAAAAACGCCGCCTTAATGATGATGACAACGAGACCTCCAGCATGGTGGGCGGGACTGTGACAAAGGCCCGCATCAGCCAGCACGCCTCGGCCAGCGGACGCATCTCTGTGGATGAGGTGGACCTGGAGGGGAAGTTCATCCGTCTGACCAACAAGGCTGATGAGGTAATGGGAAATAAACCACCTTTAAAAACCTGCTGCACCACAGGAAAGTTCCCTTTTCACATCTGAAACTCGGATAGATTTAGGCCCCGCCCACACTCCTCCAGAGATTCCTGTTTAAACCTCAAGCGCTCATGAGGGCAGATCTGCATTTAAATCACTTATTAATGCAAGAACTTAGAGGAGGTTCTGCACCGATGCTTAATGTTTTTTCAGCAAAGGGAATCAAACAGATTTCTAATACATTTGGTGATGAATGAAAGTTTTCTCTTTAAGGATTAAAGTTATTTGTGTTTACCTTTTCTTAAATCCCATCATTTGTGGACTAGATTTTATTTTTCTCCCGTTTTTGTGCTGCAGGACCAGTCTCTGGGCAACTGGCAGGTGAAGAGACAAGTTGGGGGCGGAGCTCCGATCGTCTACAAGTTTCCTCAAAAGTTCACTCTGAAGGCCGGAGCCTCCGTGACCGTACGTTCACCTCTTCTTCTTAAACTAACTCCTGCGAGGTGTTTGGGTGACGAAAGTGTTTGTCTTCACAGATCTGGGCTGCATCTGGAGGGGGAACCCACAACCCCCCCTCGGACCTGGTGTGGAAGAATCAGAACTCGTGGGGAACCGGAGACCTCCTGCAGACCAGCCTGATCAGCGCCAATGGAGAGGTAGGACTTCACTCCTCCTTCGTTCTCTTAGGTTTCTTTCTTTCTGTGACTCATCTGATCTCCTCGTTCACCACCAGGAAATGGCCACAAGGAAAGTGACGCGCACCCTGTTCCATGACGACGAGGATGAAGATATGGTAAAATCTTCCTCATCACCTTTTTTTAGATCTGAAGCACTTATGGAAGTTGGTTTAGTGTCTGAAGTTAAAAGCAGCTAAATATAAATGTAGACCGCATAATCATGTTGTCCCGGAGCTTCAGGACGTTGGAGGGAACCGGTCAGAATCTCACGTCAATGTAACTGTAGTTTGTCCCCCCTGCAGGGAGCTCACAGCACCAGTGGCGCAGACAACGAGTACAACCTGCGTAGCCGCAAGGTGATCTGTGACTCGTGCGGTCAGTCATCAGAACGCAGTGGCGGGTTGGCTGAAGGCCTCGGGGGTCACACGTTCTTCATGGGAACCAACGAGCCCAGACAGGTACGTTGACACAAAGTTAAAACTCACTTTTTAAAGCACAAAGGAACAAATAATAATAATAATAATAATAATAATAATAATAATGATGATAATGATAATAATGATGATGATGATGATAATGATAATTTTATTTTTATACCTTTTTTAAAAGCTGCGGGTTTAGACGACAAATCGAGAGTTAACCATCTAAAGTCAGAAACATGAAAAGGATAAATAAATTGTTTATTCAGAACCATTTATTTATAAACATCTAAATAATTTACTTTTCATGTAAACCTATGACACTAAAGCAGTAATGAATAATAAAGCTGGTCTTTTCTACCTAGATCCTCCACCAGGGGGCAGTAGACATTATATGTTGGGTTTCTGATGAAGGTACTAATCCCGATGCTCCATCTGGAGGCTTTATTCAGGATTTGGGACGGCGATCTATGAGGAGATATAAGGTCACCCTCAACATTTAGAACAATTTTGTATTTTAACCCTTTAGGGCCTGATTTAATGTGGCAGTAAAATGTAAAAAGTTCCAAACCACCTCCGTTTTGTAAAACAGAAGCAAATGTTAAGACATAGCTACAGTTTGTACAGGAGAACACGTTTGCTAACCCACCTGACTAAATCAGGTCAGACGTGTACCACCTTGACAGCAACATGCAAGCAAATGATATCGGTGACGAGTGAATGAAAACAAATCCCTCTCTGAGCTGCACAGTGTCGCTGGATGGGAACGGTTGGATCCTTAAAGTGAACTCGTCATCAGTCAGACGGATGTCGCAGTGGTCCAAGTTAGAGAAGCTGAGAAACTGTCATGAAGTCGAACTAGAAACCGATCAGAGCAGAATCATTCAGACGTGTTCTGATTTATACCAACTTGCTGCAGAGAGTTAATCAGCTGACGTAAGGGAAGAGCCATGAAGATAATTTATCACATCAAAAGTCTTCTTTTGATTGGACTTTAGTTTAAAAAAGGAAAAGCTCAAACTAACACGAGGCATGGGACTGTCTGTTCAGAGCCGCTTTAATCTGTACAAAGATCTCGTTAAATCTAACATCCTAGTGATGGTTTTTACACATTTAGGGTTTTATTTTCTGTCTGGTTCAGAGATAAATTCCCTATGAATGAATGAAATTAGAGCTTTTGTCTAAAAGGAATTGTAACTACTGCTTTTCAAAACCAAACATTTAGGTTTAAAGTTTGATCTTCATTCAGTAAGTGATAAAACTCTCTTCCTGTCCAGGGCCGGGTGAAGCCGGAGAACTGCTCCGTCATGTAAAACCGGAACGCCGCCTCAGCTGAACGATGGCCAAGGAAAACCCCTTTTCTACCATTGGGATGTTTTGACTTTATAAACATTTTTATATATATATATATATTTGATTTTTATTTTGCATTCAGATTAATCTGCAGGTTAGATGTGCTTCAGGGTTCCGGTGAAGGGCTCAGGACCCAAGTTCTGGCTTGGTTCATCTGCATGTCTGTAAAAGCTGCTTCTGGACGTCTGTCAGCACTCTGATCCCACCGAGCCTGAGCTTTAGTAATCATGTTCACGGTTCAGTTCTGGAGCAGAAATGTTCTGCCTTCATATGCAAATCCTCCAAAGAGGACCCATCCACTCAGGGACTAAACGTGTATGTAGTCTCCCCAGGCAGCTGATGCACAGGAACTAGCTTCACAGCTGCTTTTTGTTTATGCAGGAGGAGGAGATGTATGCAGAATTATGTTTCACATCCATTTTAGAAAACCTGAACTGGTTTCCAGTAAGAGTCCACTGCTAGCTTTTAGGATTGTGTTTCTCCCAGATAAAAATCTAAATGCGCCTTTAGAAGCAGATCTTTCCTCAGATCACATGGGGTCTTGTGACTGTCAGCCCCACCCCCCCAACCAAACACAAGCTTTATTTTTTCTGTTAATCGCAGAAGCTTAAGGATGCTTTGCTTTTATCTGCTGCAGGTATATGTGTGCTGTAGTCTGGTAGCTTTATTACTCAGTAGGATGTTTATCAGTATGGAAATACTTGATGGCTTGTTATTAATTTTTTTGCCCTTATTTTGTGTAATTTTGTCCCAAAGTGCCTCAGCATTCTCACCAACAGCCTCTTGCTGGAATGAGTAAAGATTAAATACTAAGTAGAGACATGACTACGGTTCTGTTTACACGCGTTAGCTGAAACGGGTCAGACCGGGTTTCTGCGCTGACGGACTTTTAAAGAGTCGCTCGTTCAGGCCTCCTGAATCCTCCCGGTTCCAGGTTTTACGGACCTTTAACCAAAGCTTTATTTTCCATGTTTGATGTTTTTTTTTGTTTCTTTTCTAAAACGATGCTGAATAAAAAATATTTTTGTCCAGAACGACTCGTCCTCATACGCTGCAGGTGATGTCACAGACACTTTTATTTGCATTATACACACACGCACGGTCCACGTTACATTCAAAATACACCAAAGTATGTAGAGTAAAAAAACACGAGTAACATTTACAGCATATGAATGTACATTCAGTCTGGGTTCTGGTAAACTGAAGGTTCAGATATGTGGTGCGGTTTAAACACCTCGGAAAAGTGGAAAATTGAAGGAGCTTTGAATGATGTGGCATTTGGTACCAGACCGGCTGGTCCGATCTGGGATCTCTACCAACAACCACCTCTAGTGCGCAGACAGGTTCTAGATCCTCGATCTAGCATGTTTTAGTTGTTTCTCTTCTCCAACGCTTTGTTCAGGGGTTGAATCACCTGATTAAAATCAGGAGTGTTGGAGCAGAGGGACAACTAAAACATGCTGGATAGCAGGCAGCTCTCCAGGACCAGGATAGGACCCTCCTGGTCTAGATGATGGAATGATAACAGCAGCTCAGATCAGCTCTGGTCTCTACCAAGCTCTGCAGAAGCTCACCAGCTGCTCCAGATGGACTCCAGCAGCAGAAGACCACCTGGTGTCTCTCCTGTCTGCTAAGAACAGGAACCTGAGGCTACAGTTCACACTGGATCACCAGAACTGGACCAGAGGAGACTGGAGACTCCTTTCCTGGCTCCGAGTCTGGATTTCAGCTGTCTGGTCAGAATTAGGTGTCACCGACACGAAAGCATGGATCCATCCTGCCTTGTATTCAGACTACAGCTGCAGGTGTAATGGTGTTCTGGTCCTACTTTGGACCTCTAAGAACTACCTCAGCCTGGTTTAAGCACCACCGCCTACCTGAGTCTTGTTGTTGACCATGTCCATCCCTTTATGACCAGATGGACCCATCTCCCAGCAGGATAAAGCACTGGGTTATAAAACTCAGATTATCTCTAATGGTTTCTAGAACAGGACCATGAGTTCACTGGACTCCCAACGATCTCCGCAGCCACCAGATCTCAGTCTAGAACCTTTGAGATGTGGAGGAGCTAGAGGTTCTCATGGATGGAGCTGATGCTGTCATGTCAGGATATAGTAGAACCTTTGAAGAACATTTAAAATGGCTATTTGGATCCATGACATGAAGAATTAAGGTGGTTCTGAAGGCACAAAACGTTCCACCTCCTCGTCTCCTGTGGAGTGTCTCAAATATCCTGGGGATGAACAGGTGTGTTCTTCATTCAGGACATCTTATCTTTTCAAACGTGCTTTACGACGAGCTAATACATCGGTAAATGCAGCCGACTCACCGCCTCTTCCCTGCTGATGCTCCGCTGGCCTTTAGGCAACTGAAGAAATCTTTGTTGGAACGTCTTAAAGTCTAAGTCTGATCTGATTGGTTGGAGGAACTTGGTGGTTCCTTCACATCATGTCCTGTTTGTGTTCAAACTGAAACAATAAACCAGTTAAAACTGCTGTTTTACATTCATGTGAATCTGTTATATTCATCTCTATATTTACAAAGTTTTCATCCAGCAGCAATAAACCACATTCTGGAGCAAATGGCTGCAGCTTTTGTTGGTTTTCATCTTTTAAAATGTCTGAATAATCATCTCCGTGTCATCTGGGTAAATCAAGGTTACGCTAAATTATCCAAAGCTGCAGGTAAGATGGTTTTCATGGAGGTGAAGGGTCCACACCTGTCTTCATCACTTTCTGTCTCCGCAGTCTGGAGTGAGATCAGTACCACGTGATGTCCACAGGGAGGCAGCGCTGCCCTAAAATGAGACTCTCACAGAGCCCCAAAGCCTGGATGCTGGAGGACCTGCAGCTCCGAGCATCACTGGAGTTTCCTCCTGGGGGAGGTCCGGGGAGAGGGGGCCCGACGGACCGGAGGCAGGTCGTAGTGTCCCGGGATATGGCTGTTTACGGGGAGGTCGTAGTGGCTGTGGGGGTCCTCGTGCGGGGCGTGGCCAAGGGAGCTCTGACGCTCTGACAGGAAAACAAAGGTTATTTCATTGGGCTGGTCCAGAACCAGTCCCCTCTTAGCTGTCCCTGTAGAGATCCAAACTTCTAAATAGATCAATAAGGTGGAATCACCTAGAGATGATTAAACTAATCCACTGGTGATTGGAATCGTCCATTTTTCAACATGATTAGATTATTCTGAGATCAGCAGTTCTGAGTCTCAAATATCGATCGATCTCAATACTTGCACCACTGGCCGGGAACGCGCAATTGAATTTCCTGATATTTGGACATCTAGCCTCTGATTGGCTACAAGTTTACTTTGCAGCATTGATGTTTTATCTCCACAAATAACACACGCCTGGAGGAGTTCTGCTGCGAGCCACTATGGGGGAGAATGTGAATGTGAAGTGACAGTGTGACATAGATCTGTCAGGGTTTTAAAATTCTAATGTTTCACCTTTTATTTTCTATCAGATGCTAATGCAGGAACAGGAGACTGTTTTGATGCTCAGCCCGAGTGACTGATCATCATTAAAAGTTATTAGTAAATTATAAGTAAGTCTCTGATCTGCTCTTCAAATAGGATTTCAGTCTTGGCCTTTCTCCTCAATGCCAGAACCACATTTAAACTGGTTCATCTGCATTTTGCAGCTTTTTATATTTCTTTCAACGCAAATGATCCGTTTCATCCCTACTAAGTTATTCCTTCATCTAGGTTATATTCAGGCATGATGATCATTTTTTTTCAGGTTTCATCCAACAGATTCTCTCTAAACCTGAGACGTGTAGGGGTTCTGCAGCTCAGCTCACCTCTGCGCAGGCCGGCCATGTTGAATGGCGGCGGGCTGATCTCGGTGTAAGCTCGTTCCCTGGGCACGGCCGACTTCATCTCCATGTAGCTGCTCTCCTGGGGGCAGAAGGGCGGCCCGGGCAGGTCTTTGATGGTGGCGTACGGGTTCTCGCTGTTTAAAGAGCTGCTGCTCAGCGACGCCTTCAGCTCTGTTCACACACAGCATTGGTCATGCTTCACTAAATCTTATGAAACAATAAAACTCCTCCAGAGTAGAAATAACTAAATAAATAGCAAATTAGTGAAAGCCAAACAGCTTCAGAGAACTCAGTCTGGATCCTATGCTGCCGTTTCCACGTGTGTTCTGCTCTGACTGATGAGAGGAGAAGAAAAACTGAGAGAACGAGGTGATAAAACTACCTTTGTTGTAATATTTTCCGAGGCTGGCACTGTAGCTGTAGCTCCTGTCGATGCCAAAAGCTCCTGTAAACAGTAAAAGACACATTCTCCATCCAGTTTTCTTTTATATCAAACTAATCCAAAGCAGATGAGCTGCTTTGGAAACGTATAAAATCACTAACAGGCGCTGCTGATGCCGTCATCAGTGTTTATGAACTTCTGAGTGTTTATGGTCTGATACCTGCAGCTGAATATGAAATGTGACGGAGGATAAAGTTTAAGTGAGAAGAGAAGCTTCTTTTATCTCAGCTTCCACCTGATTTCTGAACATTTACTCATCCCTTAGAATCACATGAAAAGGTTTCGGTTTGATAACGATATCAAACGGGTAAAGCTGAGGGACGTATCTCCTCCTGAAAGGGAGATTTCCAAGGGCGCCAATTCCTTCTGCTCAAAATTCTAATCCCAACATCAAATAATCTAGAACTTCTGTAATAACCTACAGAGAAAATGTTCAAATGTGAAACAAATTAAACTGAAATGTTAAAGCTGCTGCCAGTGGCTCATCAGGTCACCATGGCAACACAGCTATGAGACAGTCCGACGTGGATATTTCAGAGCACACACTCATACATTTTAAGTCCCAAACACTAAACTGCTGTTTAAAAATAACTCATTTGTGCTTAAAGAAATCCCCAGATCGTGTCACAGGGATTTGATATTCACAGCTTTTCATTTTTCTTAGGAGGTATTGTGTATTATTAATTATAATTATTATAGTTTGTAAATTTATTACGAACATTTTTGGTGTAAGAAGATTTGTTTGAGGATTTTTGAAGTTTTTTTTGCTAATAACACGTTATTGAGTTTATTCTAATGGAAAATTGCCCCAAATACTGAAACTTGGACTCAGATTATGTAAAAACTAAAAAGAAACTTAAGCAATCGCATTTATTAATGTCTCACTGCCCGTTTCATCTTTAAATGATGTTTCTACTGCAAAGTCTTCCTGAGGAGGCGGGGCTTTGCCACCTGCTTCACTAAAACCTCAACACCTGTTATCTGATCTACAGCTAAACATCAGACCACTCTAATCCTGAGCTACATGCACAGATGTGCACAGATGTTTGAATGTGCAGGTTAGACCAAAGCAGGTGGAGGAGAAGAGGGTCAGAAAATTAAAAAGTAAGAAGGACGGTGAATTTAATCTGATGCATCAACTCCTGCTTCAGGTTTTTAGTTGTTAAACATTTGTCCACCTGATAAAAACTCCTCCCACTTATCCAGACACACCTGAGGCTTTGCGACCTTCGTGGTGTTTCCAGTCTGCTGGCAGAGTGGCGTTGGGCTCAACTCCAAACAAACTGCGTTGTTCTCTCGCAGCGTTCTTCACACTGCAGAACAGCTGGTTGTTTGTGTTCTGATGAGACAAAATCCGACCCTTTATGTCCAGGACAGGAGACACGCCCAGCTGTCCCCCTTTTTAAAAAAAACGTTCGACCAATGAGTGTCACCTTGACGATGCGGTCGTGGTTGTTGGGGAGGTGCGGTAGCGGCGGTCTGTTCTGGCTCAGCGTGTGGTAGCTGGGGTTGGAGTAGTAATGGTGGTAGCTGTGAGGAACATCTGGAGGCCCAAAACAAACACATGGAGTCACATCTGCTGTGATTTAATCACCTCAGGGTCAATAAAACAGACCTTAGTGGAGCATTAATTACAACAACACCTCAGCGAGACCGCCAGAACGATTAAAAAAATCTAAATTAAAACCTCCGATCATCTGTTCCTGAGCCTCGTTAGGAATCATCAAGAGAAATGATGTCTGGAGGAATCTGGACCCAGTTAAACAACATTTTAATGGGAATGAGTCCACACAGAAACACATACACTAATTAGTGCTGCATAGAAATGCATTATGGGAGACATGTATGTGTCAAAACAAGCATCTCAGCAGCAGCGTGTTTGCTGGGATATTTGGTTACCATGGTGACGCCACGCTCCGCAAACAACACCCAGCAACAGCAGATGCATGCATGGAGGGTTTGTTGTTTCAGATCTTAATCCTAGCAGAAATGTTCGGCTGAAGTCATTCAGGTCTCAGTGTGAAGCTTGTTTTTCACCTCCATCTTCCTCACAGTCACTGGTGATGTGTCAGTATTTTGGGGGGCGGAGCCTAAAGCTGTGAAGTTTGGCAGCGTTTTTTGTATTTTTATGTTCTATCTGATAAATCTTGATCTGCATGTGAGTTTAGTACAAAAAGATTTATTGTCAAATATTACTTCATAATGAATCATGAAGAAAAGTGGGTTCAATTAGTTCTGAATTATGCATTCATCAGTTAAGATGTTCATTTGTTTTATTGTGGCCCACGAGGTTCTGATCCGTACCTGGAACGGCGTATTCGGAGTTGACGGTGCGGCTGGTGGAGAAGGAGACGGTCGGCGTGTTGCTCTGTTTGTCCTTCTGCCGGCGCCGGTAGAGCAGCAGCAGAGCCAGCAGCAGCACCACCAAGAGGACCAGAACCACGATGCCACTGATGGCCCCCCATGACTCCTTCTCACCCGGGGGGAGAGGAACCATGACGCTGCCCACCTGCTCAGAGGAGTCTAACAGAAAGTGGAAGAAGACCTTCATGGCTGTGTTCTTGAGTCTTGGACTCTTAATGTTTTGAGGCCCACAGGAGCACTTACTGTTCTGGCAGGTGGCGCCCCAGTAGCCCGGACGACACACGCACTCGCCGGTCTTCCTTAAACATGTGTCACTGTTGGGGCATCGCTCTGAACAGGTCTGGTTACAGTTGGACCCCCACAGGCCCTCAGGACAAGGATCACTGCAGCGTGGACCTGAGGGGACACCAAATGATTGACAGGTGGTCTGATGACCTGATAAATCACCAAAAGGTCACTGAACCATGATCCCAGAGCCTCTTCTTTTAACAACCGTTTCTATGTCAGTGTCTCTGCCTCGTTAGCAGGATTAGTACCTTCCTAACAATCCTGCTGTATTGAAATACAAGCGTGTATTCTGCCCCCTGGTGGAGAATGGAAACAACTCCAGAACCAAATTTCTTTCTATAATTTCTGAATTGTTTTATAATTATAAACCAAGAAATAATTAGATGACATCAGTTATTTAATGGTTTATTGAAACGTTATCTAACCCTCGGGCATCAATGGGGACATTTTTGTCCAATTGGGTAGTTTTTCCCTTTCCTTGGGATGCCATTTTAGCATTGGCCGTGTTCGAGTTGATGGCCTCGCCTGGAAAACAGACGAGAGCAGACGGAAGCAGCAGTGGGAGTGGCTGAAGCCGGCATTTAAGTCGGACACAATTTCCTGCATGTGTAGCTCGCGGGTGATGATGGATGAAGATATCGCGTTAGAGTTCATACTTGTTTAATTTTCAATTTTAATTCTGGTGCCTGTTAGCAACTGAAACACATCCTCACGTGCTTGTGGATATCATATATTGTATATGAAGACATGACTGTAATAATAAGTAAAGGTTATCAGCTGTAGGTTTAGTGTGCTCATAGGAAACGTGACAAGAGAACACAAAACACATTTCTCTTTATGGCCTATATAGTTGTCATCATCAACGTTACATGATTTACAGAATACATGTGACCAACTAACATTTCATGTTCTACCACCGGATGTTTGGATCAGAATATGAACCAATCAGATCTTAGATCAGGTGAGAGCCAGGCGTTTCCCGTCATCCTCTAGGTTTTGCAGCCGCGGAGAGCAACTGCAGTGCCTTGCTCCAAAACCTGCGGCCGCCTTGATCTCACGAGGTTATCGTTGCCTACGTATGCATGATATCAGAGCAAGTCGGTGTCAAGTCAGACACAAATCTAACCGTGTCGGTACAGGATCTGCTCGGGTGCAGGATCGGCTCGGGGTCCTTCGACTGCCGATGACGTCAAAGTAGTTGATTGGCTGAACATGAAGCTTACGGAAGTGATGTAATCACGTAATGATTTTGATTGGTCAGAACAAATTTGCGGTCGTAGTCCTGTAGTCTAAAAATCAACACTTTTTGGAGAAAATATGTTTGAATTTCTAAAGGAAATGTAAAATATAAGCAAACGATAAACGGTGACCCTCAAAAGTTCTTGATGTTGATGAAATGGGGCAAAATAAAATATAAGAACTTTATTGAAAGACACCAAGCAATATTTTGAGTCAAAGAATGTATTTAGATAACAACTAAGGAAATATACAGACGAACTCCACATTAGTACAAACATATATGGCTTCACATATAAGAACTGTTCTAGTTATTGTCAGTCCGATGTTGGTTTTATGTAGTTTCTCGTTCTTTACAAAACAAAGATAATATGGTGTTTTATTAACAAATTAAAATTATAAAGAAAACATTTAGGTGTTAACAAACAAGAATTTATTAACAAAACTGCTGATGTCTTTCCAAAACGTATGTGTGAAAGCCGAGTAGATTTGCAGTCACGTGACGTCATCGGCAGTCGAAGGACCTCAAGCAGATCCTGTACCGACACCAGCATGCACTGCTCACCGATCACCGCTGATCTAATCTGCGCAGAACTGGCTTATCTTGAACACAACCATAGTCTGTGCACATGTTTGACAAAAAATAAAACAAAATAAAAACACTACACTCTTGTGACCTTTGAGGACAAAAATGTCCACTTGTAAAAGTGGCTATAAAAAATGTATACATTCATGTTTTTTGCTTTTGGTTCAGAGATCTTTTAAACAAATTCAGCCCTGCTCAAACATGTAAAATATTTAATCATTTTGAGGATTTGAACCCTTCAAATGCCATTTTGATTACTCAATGTTATTGTTGCAATAAAACAATAATAAAAATAAAAATAAATTGTTATTTTCCAAAGCAAAACCCAACTTTTTCTGCTCGGGGCATTTATTACAAATGTCATTGTCTGAGGTGAGTGGTTCATTCATGACCTCTTGAGTGCTTAATTGCAGGTGAGTGGCACTGAAGAGCGGGCAGCTGCAGCCAATCTTTCATCTACCAGTTGGTGCATAAAAGGAGCAGGGAGACGACATCACTTCGTCGGATGATTGCTCACTTTGGTACACTCCAACCTGAGATCACAAAGCCAACTCTCGAATTTAGAAATCTTGCGCATGTCTTGAGCTTTAGCATATTTGTAATCCCTGTTCCCTGTCTTCAGGCATCCTCGCCATCACCACCTCGTCAGCCATAACCATGGATTATCTCACTGGACCACGTGTCCCTGCTCAACCTGACCGACCTGCTCTCAGGTACTCACCCCACACTCACCTTCGCTCATCTGGATTCTCCTCTCAAGCTCGACCCTCACCTCAGACCTGACCACCCTCCTCGTCTTCAACTAATTCCCTACTCACCTCTACTCCTTCAACCTCACTCGGACCCTCGCCTCACGTTGATGGCGCTCCTTCAGTTACCCTTTTCTAATAAATATTGTTTACCCTTTTATCCAATCTCCATGTATGATTCTGAATGTCCTGGATCAGGAAACTAAACCAGAACATGACAACAAATCAGTCTTGGCTATGTTATGAAATATCTAAAAAATTACATTTTGCATCAAAAGTTTTTGTGTAGCAACATATTTAAAAGTTACCATCCTTTTATGACACACACACACACACACACACACACACACACACACACACACACACACACACACACACACACACACACACACACACACACACACACACACACACACACACACACACACACACACACACACACACACACACACACACACACACACACACACACACACACACACACACACACACACACACACACACACACACACACACACACACACACACACACACACACACACACACACACACACACACACACACACACACACACACACACACACACACACACACACACACACACACACACACACACACACACACACACACACACACACACACACACACACACACACACACACACACACACACACACACACACACACACACACACACACACACACACACACACACACACACACACACACACACACACACACACACACACACACACACACACACACACACACACACACACACACACACACACACACACACACACATGAATGTGCCATTGACTTCCATTCAAACCAGTGTTTCATCCTGTAACATCTGCTAAAAATAATCATGCATTCTGTGATACCTCTGGAAACTCTACACATTTCTTTAGATCTTCTGCTATTTGTATTGAAGGCACAATATCAACCTGACCTCTGGAAAGTGAATAAAACACAGTTTGACTCTCTGAACTTCAAAGTGTAGAAAACAAAAACAATTAGTATGTTTATGCAGCTGGCATATTGATCTTTTGTTTTTGTGTTTTTTTTCCATAAATTACAGCAATGACATTGAGTAACCAAGCTGGATTTTGAAGGGTTAAAAATCTCAAAATGACCCAAGTTTTTTTTATACATTTGAGCAGGACTGAAGTTGTTTAATAGATCTATGAAAAAAAAGCAAAATAAAAAACGTGAATTTATACACTTTTTTCTTTTACAAGCAGACGAACAGGGTAGTAAATTAAAGTGATGTCTAAGAGTTAAATATGCTGCAGTTGGTTCAAATATAAAATCATTTAATGGAGACACGATTGGTCCTTTAACGACCACAGGTTTGTGAAGCTGTTTTAAAACCTGCGGCTCTCTGAGTTTTTGGACCTTTGTCTGAGACCGAATCCAAGCTGGCAGCAGCAGGACGTCATCACTTACCCGTCCAACCTGGCAGACAGTGGCACTCCCCGGTGGTGCCCTGGCAGCCGGCGGCGTGGACACAATCACACCTCCTCAGGCAGCCGGGTCCAAACGTATCCATCTGCACAAAGAACCGGTGTCAGCGGGCGAAGAATCATCAGGGGATTCTTGTCCATTGTTCAGCAGCTTAGTCACAGTCAGACTAAAAAACAACCCCGGTGTTGTGCTGTTGCGCGGACGGTCTGTCACCGTGAAGACGAGAGTCCAGATTAAAGCAGAACGTCTCAATAAACGTGTTCTGTAACTTTTTTACAAGACAAGAGTTGATCCAATCAAACTCAGCGGCTCATGCAATCTCCACACAGAATAAATGTTAATCTGTGATTTGTCTTTTTTTACTGTTTGGGACATTTTTGTGCCAAAGCGGCATGCGCTGTGGGTTGAGTCCAGGAGGTTTCTGCTGCTTTTGGAGGCAAACTCAGGAAATCATGGAGTTGCATCATAATTCCTGTTTTTAGTTTGTCTCATTTTTGTAATCAACGTTTGAAAAAGAAAAAGTTCCAGCTCCTGCACCTTTTCCAAATAAAATGATTGAGATTTTTACAATTTTTCTCTAAAATAATCATCCCCTTTACAACTGAGCTTGTTTATTACAACAATCACATCTAAAACCTTTAAATACCACCTTAAATGAGTGGATCACTTGTTTAATCAACACATTTGCAGTGATCTCTATTAGGAATGAATGCCTTGTAAGTCGTTCTCATGGGAAAAAATACATGGGTGCACCATTTTTTGGACCTAAAAATTGCTCACATCACAGCTGAGCTTCAGGTGGTTTTTGAGTCTTATTTATTGATATTTGGGCATCTCACCCCGGATTGGATAACAGAAACACGACTCTACCACTGATTTGTGACATGGATGTTTCATCTCCACAAATAAAATGCAAGCATGGAGGAGCTTCTGCTGTGTGGTGAAGTTTCTAATGATAATAGTTAGCTTATGCTATCCGAGACGTTCTCTGCGGACACCAAAACACTAACAGCCTTCCCCACTGTGAGTGAAGATGGGTGAGTCCATGAATGCTATTCACAGTGTGGCATAGATCTGTGAGGATTTTCAAATCCTAGATTTTCACCATTCTATCAGAAGCTAATGCAGGAGATAGGTGTAGGAGACTAATTTCATGTTCTGCCTAAAAAACTCAGAGTAAACAATTATAATCAGAAAAAAACATTGAAAAAGTGGCTTTTCAGTGTTCCACACCTTTAAATTCAGCATTTTGAAGCATTTCCAGCTCCTGTAAAGCCCGGACCACACGGTGTCATACAGAACTGCTCATAGTACACCGAGAACTCTAGAGAGGTGGACCCCTGTATGGCGCAAGACTTCAGTGAGCCATACTGCATGACGTCTCGCTCTAGCAGGATACGTTACGTCACAAAGCCCCGAACCCCCCGAAAAGTATACGTCTCAAAAAATCGCCAGCTAGCCAAAACAACAAAGCTGACTCTGTTTACACTTTTTGTAGTAGACTCCAAACCAGCAGTCTAAAATATAGCAGTCCACATGTTCATGCGTGTAGCTTCCTTCCACTGTGGCTAATGTTGCGAGTTCTACTCTTGTATTGCTCTCTCTCACTAGTTCGCGTCAATCCCTGGGTGTATTTTCATTGGTCGATTGCAGACGGGAATCGTAGGTTTTCAAGCAGACTGTTGGAGGCTGACTTTGGTCATGAGAGTGCTCAATAAGCTGTCGCAGAGCCGGTCACGCTGGACAGCCACAGACTTGCAAATCACCCTCACGTTCACAATTTTGGGTCACGATTCTGTTCCCGACGAGGGAGTTATGTAGGACGGCCGAAAAAGACACAGTGTGGTCCGGGATTAAGACATCCGTTTCTGATGTGTTGTCCAAACAAGCAAAACGTGTTTGGCCTTTTTCTAATTGCCATGAACTTTGACCTTAACCTTCTGTCATTTCTCTGAGCATTGACCTTTGACCTCAGGATGAACTAGCAGCCATCTTCATTGTTTCATTTTAACAAATTATCTAGTCACTGCATAATGACCTGTAACATACCCAGCCTGATGAGCAGCAGTGGTCCCTCTTCTAGAGTGATTGCTGAAGTCTTGCGTAAACACACGCGTGTACGCTCCAGAGCCGCAACCCAATAAAAATCTATGATCAAATGAGGAGACACTCACCTGACACGGCTGGTCGCAGCGCGCGCCCTGCCAGCCGGAGGAGCATTTGCAGGCTCCGTCTGCCGGGTCACATGTTGCCCCGTTGCTGCAGTGGCAGGTGGAGTTGCACCCTGGACCCCAGGTCCCCTCAGCACAGGGCTCAGAACAGTGTGGACCTCGCCAGCCTGCAAACACAAATGAGCCATCAGTCAGCTGAACGGCACCGCTCCTCTGAAGCTGCTCTTTCAGGGCTCTTTACCTTCTTTGCAAAAGCAGGTTCCGTCAACCGATGAGCAGTCGATAAAGTTTTCACAGGAGCACTCCAGGGAGCAGTTCTTGCCGTAGGTGCCACTTTTACACGAATTCTCACAGTGAACGCCCTGAAAAACACCAGAGATCACAATAAAACACTAACTCAAACCTGACGGTGGGATTTATGGTTTAATCTTTAGCTGAACTCACCGTAAATCCCAGGGGGCACTGGCACCGTCCAGTGGCGCTGTCACACACTCCTCCGTTCACACACAGACATGGTTCCACGCAGCCGTGGCCGTAGAAACCGTGAGTGCAGGTTTCGTTACAGAACAGTCCGGCCCAGCCCGGCTGACATGTGCACTCCCCCTTCATCGGGTGGCAGCTACAGAGAAGGAGGGAGAGAGAGAGAGCAGGCTTTAAAAAGACTAAATCACAACATCCGAGCAACAGGCTGACTGGTGTCTTATTTGGTCTCGGAGCTGAAACCTTTCTGATGTCAGATTTATTCACCAGGAGATTCGAGTTGTAAACGACCAGAAAATTCAGAATTTTCCATTTTTAAACCGTGACCTCAAAAGAAAGTCATGAATCTCTAAAACCAGTTTCCCACTGGGCTGGGACTGTTGAGACACAGAGCTAAAGTAAAAATCCAGTTGCAATCAAACTGAATTGGTACAAATGCTGACCGACTGCAGAGGCCTCTGGGCTCAAAGTGCATGTTTTGGTCTAACCACTACACTCATACATCTGTGCACATCTGTGCATGCAGATCAGGATTAGAGTGGTCTGATGTTTAGCTGAATTTTCATCTCAACATGAAACTAAAAATGTGTTTTAATATTAACACCTGACAAATCTGATTTCTTTTTCATAAAACATCTCAAGATGCTCGAGGATCTGAACGTGACTTCCCGAGAGTGATGACTTAACACACCCACCTGAGTGTGTGTTTCTCCTCACACAAACACTTCTGCTCACAGTGCATGCCGTAGCTCCCGGCTGAACACATCCTGTTCCTGCAGTGCGGCCCGCTGAAGCCCGGCTCACACAGACAGCTGCCGTCGATGTTAAAGCAGCGCGCGCCGTTGGCACAGTCACACACACCTTTACAGTCTTCACCGTAGGTACCTGCAGCACACTCCTCGGTACACCTTTAAAACACACACACACACACACACACACACACACACACACACACACACACACACACACACACACACACACACAGAGTCTTTTGTGTTAGACTCTTTTGGTAAGACATCAACTCTTTAGAAAGAAGATAATTTCTGGTCCTTTTGGGGTTTTATTCCCATTTTCTCAAAACTTTCAACACTCTGAAAGCGTTACGTTTGAACCCACTCACCTGCTTCCTGTGAAACCGTGGTTACACCGACACTGCCCAGTTACGGGGTCACATTTACCAGCGTTGTGACAAACACATTCTTCTGTACAGTTTGGTCCGAACCTTCCCTCTGGACATGGCTCTGTGCACACCGAACCCTGCAGGGAAACACGACAGAACCAAAACAACCTGGAATCAGATGACAGATAATTCCAGACAAGAGAGACAATTTAAAACCTCCATCAGTCTGAACTACTCAGGGCTTGAGGACGTACCGTCCATCCAGCTGAACAGGCACAGACTCCTTTACCCTTACAGGTGCCGGTGTTCTGACAGGAACATCTGGCCTGGCACTTCCTCTTGTTACACGTCCTCTCACAGCTGGAGGAGACAAGAGATGATGAGATCAGATGGGACGATGATGATTCGTGCATCCTTTGGACTAAAGTAAATATTTTCTTTCTTGTTTCGTCTTTCCCACCATCAATTGGTGAAAGTACACACACACACACACACACACACACACACACACGCACGCACACGCGCGCACATGCGCACGAGCGCGCACACACACACACTGAATGGATGGACTGTAATAACACTCCAACAATTGGATAATAACCTACAGCTGTTTAAACCTGATTAAAGATGGCCGCCATAGCTAATCAGCACTAGCCAACACAAACATGAACATGATTCCATTTTACAGATGTTGAGCCAACATCTGGTGTTGCAGCAAAGACTCAGAACATTACCGCATCAGGTTATGTCTGTGGTATCGGTGGCACAGGAGTTAAGTGCTCGCCCCCGTAATCGGAAGGGTGCAGGTTCGAACCCCACTCGGTTCGTCACCGTTGTGTCCTGGGGCAAGACACTTAACCTCCCTTGCCTGCTGGTGGTGGTCGGAGAGACCGGTGGCGCCAGTGCTCGACAGCCGCGCCTCACTCAGTGCGCCCCAGGGCAGCTGTGGCTACATTGTAGCTCGTCACCACCAGGGTGTGAATGTGTGTGTGAATGGGTGAATGACTAATTGTGCTGTGAAGTGCCTTGGGGGGTTACAGGACTCTAGAAGGCGCTATATCAGACACAGGCCGTTTTACCATTTACCACATCTGTCAAAAAGTTTTGCCTTTTATTCTTCCAGTTACAGCTACAATGACAAATTTGCAAAATACCCTAGCTTTTAAACACAAACGCAGTTAAGAAACTCTCACCCCTCTCGTCACCATCATCCCTAGGCCCCGTTCCCCTGATATGGGAACGTGCATTGCTAGAGTAAACAAGAGAGCGCTAAACACCAGTCACCATTTTCTATATCCAAATGTCTTTTGGGGTGTTTCTCAATGTCAAAGAACCTTGCCTTGATGTCTTGGTCCCGCCCCGGTTGCCTAGGAGATACATCATCAGGACCTGCCAAGGCGTGGTCCAATGTTAATGTGCTGTTCTCCGTTTGTTAGCTGTTTAGCTAGCTGAGCAAGGATACACGGGAGGTGTCCTGAAGCCTGGCCCCAGAAAACAGTGCGGTATTTTCAAAAGGATGCCGTATCAGGAGCCGACAGCTACTTCAGGGGCAAATTTTCTGTTTCAATTTAAGTCAACTAATTATAACTATTGGGCTGATATCTAAAATGTTTTTTTTAAATGTTTTTTAGACCCAAAGCAGTTACCTATGGTTGGTTGGTTGCTTAGTAGTTGTTGCTTTGGTGGCTAGCATACATATTACAAATTTATTTTAACCAAAATATACACAATTAAAAAAGTAAAAGGCTCGTTATACAGTTATATTGAAGCTCATACGTGTAAAATATAACTACCTCACGTGTCACATGACGTGACATAATCACCGCAAAAGCGACGGTCAGGTGATGTAAGTCTGTTCCATTTCTTTGACCGAGGAAGGACAGTGTCCTCGTAAACAAGGTGCCTGGCCTAGAAATACATTGCCTTGCTAGGCCAGGCACCTTGATATTGAGAAACATCCTTGGGGCCAATCCCAATACTCACACTTCCACCCTTGCGCCCTTCAATTGCGGAATCCCGACAAGGGATGCGAGGATGTAGGGTGTCCAGATTCTTAAGGATTTTTTTCTTTTTGGGACTCTGGCAGTGGCGGCTCATCCATAGAGGGCGCTAGGGCACCGCCCCATCAGTCTCACAGGAAGAGGAACCATAACCCAATCCAAGATGGCCACCACAGCTAATCAACTTTAGTGAACACAGAAATAGCTCAGACTTTCCCCTCCAGTGTGTGACTAATATTTTCTTCTTGGTTTAGCGCAGAAGCTGCTGCAGAAACATACAGACACAAACCTGAGGTTAGGTGCAAAGGAAACGGACGCAAGCCGTTTAAATGTTCTCCAGCGGCTGTTCTTCTAAAAGCCTTTTTTTGATGACCTGTTATTAGGTTTAATGCCACATAACAGGATTAAATCACTAAACTGGTTTCTACAGTCCATATGGTTGTTTATGCAGAACACGGACCTCCTAAATGTTCCTCCTGTTTGCAGCAGATCATTAAAGGACATTTCTGTGTCAGGGGATGTGGAAAGTCTGTTGGAATTTCATCTGAATTAAATACAAGTGATGGTCCAAAAACTTAAGCAAGCATAACCGACTCTAGCTCTGATGTTCAGCTAAAATGTTAAAAGCTGAGAAACAAACAGTCAACATATATTAGATTTAACCAAAATAACTAGAAATCCATCAGTTCTCGACATTAGACAAGATGTACATCTCTGCTATAAAGGATGGGACAGAATAAACAAAGGGGAATCTGTTCTGGACCAGAAAGATCAGAGGTTTCTTGGCCTGGATGACTTCTCTTCACACGCTGGAGGTAAAATGGAAATGTTACCACTAAAAAAACGACTCATCCTGGAGCTTCATGAGCTTTTAATCACCACAGCAGGTCCTTGGTCTTCTCGCGTAGCTGAAAGTGAAATGCTGAGCTTCTTTTCTGTGTCGTTGGGGAGAGTTTTTGTAGTTTACCCATCCTCAGGGGCAGTTTAAAATCAGAGTGTAACGGATGAATCACGGCCCACGGCTCAGACCCTCAGGGTGTCTTTTCCATCTCCAAATTGAGCGGCAGCAACTCATAAAAGGCTCTTTTCTAACATTCCTACTGAGAAAACACAGATACTAAAGCGAGGCGTAATGAAGCTTGAATCAAGTGTCTCCCAACAGGAATATTCAACAAAACAAAAAGACGTTGGTGAACAAATCAGGGCTGGGCTGATTCGAAGAAGTGATGGTAACACTAACAAAGGACATTTCACTCTGAGGATCCACGACGTTGCTTTTCTTCTCTCTGATCAAACATCTACAAATTACATCTGTAGCAGCTTGACACCTTTAAATCAAAACAAGGAGAGAAAAGAGATGCAGAATCTGAGGGCTGGAAGCCCCGCCCACTCACCTGCACACAGCCATGACCGTAACAGAATACAAATGAACATTTAATAAAATACTTTAAAACAAAGTTGCAAAAACCACCAGAAAATAATTTGCTTTTTTTCTTTGTTAGAAAAAAGTTTATTCACATGGCGGGGGCGGAGCTTAAACATTTTACCAGCTTTAGCCACAAGGGGTTGTTTTGCATTATTTTAGTTTCAACTCCTGCATCTAGTTTTAATGTAAGTGAATGAAACATAAAAAAATATGAAAATATTTTGCTGTGTTTACTGAATCTGGGATGTAGCCGTTGTAATAATGTGTGTCATTTTTTCATTATACTTACAAAGTTCCGGTGAACCCCTCCTGACACGTGCACTCTCCAGTCGCTGCATCGCAGGTCGCTCCATTTTTGCATTTGCACGTCTGCTTGCAGCCCTTCCCGAACGTTCCCGCTGGACAGGAGTCCTCACAGAAGCGTCCGATGAAGCCCCACAGACAGTGACACGCTCCGCTGAGTGGGTCACACAAAGCTCCGTTCTCACATTTACAGTCCCTGAAGCAGTCCGGGCCCCAGTGTCGGTCATCACAGGCTGGAAGAGAAACAGTAGAACTCAGCGTCTTTTAAATGACCCCTGACCTTTTTACTCAGGGAGTGAGTGTCTGGCTCAGGTGGGGGAGTTTCTGGTGTTTTGTTTCTGAGTGATGGCAGATGTACGGAGACGAGGACCAGCAGACTGGATCTTCATCAGGAAGAATGAGGTCGCCATTGCGGAGTGAACCATTGTCCCAGGATGAATCTGACCTGAAAGACCCAGATCCTGGATCCGAGCAGCTGAAAAGAGATTCCTCTGTAGGACCATCAAGCACATCCAGGAGGACTCAGTAGAGCCACTGCTCCTCCTCATCCAAAGGATGTGGATTTGATGAGATAGCCTCTGTAAGTTTACCCGACTCGGACCCAGAGATCCTCTCAGGTCTGGAAACACCTTAGGACAGGGGTGGTCAACTCCCTTCCCTGAGAGATGGTGAACAGCATGTTTTAGTTGTTTCCCTGCTCCAACACATTTGACTCACCTGTTCAGAAGATCATCAAGCTCTGGAGAAGCCTGTTAATCACCTGCTTATTAAAATCAGGTGTGATGAGGCGGGGAAACAACTAAAACACGTTGGATACCGGCTGTCAGGGAAGGGAGTTGAATTCCTCCTATAAGCAGGTCTCCTCGACCTGTTCCCATCCACAGCCCGACCTCGGAGAGAGTTTAACCCTATTAATCAAGTTTTTCACAGAGTATTAATAAATATAGTCAAATATAAACCCAGTGTGACTCAGAGCTTCTGCTGCCCATGGATCTGCCTCTAAGTCTGCCCCCGAGCCCGGGGCATCATGTTACCTGGAAATGAATGCAACAAGGCAGGGTGATTTCCACGGAGATCAGAGGATTCATCGTTGTTATCCCAGACTGGTTCAGGGGGTCAGTGAGAGTGTGGAGATTCACACAAGGTTTGGGTTTCTGTTCAGGAGGAAATGATCTCAGATGGGTCACAGATCTTCTTTACGTGACTTCTCTGAGACTTCAGTCGGACTGCCGCTCAGCGATCAAAACGACGACAGAGACGACATGATGTAGGAGCTTAAGTCCGTCAAGGAAAAGACGACTTCAGCTGTGAGTCACGTTTATTTTATTATATTTTATTTTTATGTCTCAGATGACTATGGACCAAACGTCTGAGCTGCAGCACCTCCAGGATCTCCTGAACAGGACCAAATTAGGCGGCGCTGCCACAGCCTGCAGTGTTTATTACTCTAACTCGGACCAGAACTGGATCTGTTTGGAGGAATCACAGCTTCACTTGTTCTCTGTGTGGGCACTGGAGAAAGGTTCTGTCGGACCGTGTCACGATGAGTAATGAGGATCTCAGCTGGAGCAGCGATGGTGTTTATACAGGGGAGGGGGGTGTTACCGAAGAGTCCAACCAGGAACCCAAACAGGAGAGAGAAAGTCACAGAAATCTGATCCTGATGCACTTTTCAAACCAGCTTATTTATAAGGACTTTAGGTCTAAATACCTTGATCTGGATGGTAGACCAGACCGTGTGACCTTTGACTTGACCACTCATGTTTATGTGCTGCAGCTGTGATGGTGCTAATAGAGGAAGTCAGGGGTTTTTAGGACAAACCGTTGTTTAATTTAATTAAAAATACAGAGTAGGTGGAGATCAGAGAGAGTTTTCTTTTGTAAAAATGAGCTCGTAGCTGAAAATAAGAACTTCTGTTGATGGCAAGAAGAAAAAAGCTTTGACTTTTGAATTGTTTTCTCATGAACCAATTTTTCTTTACGGGTTTATGGAATCTACCTGAGCAACAGGTAACCATAGTTCGTCTCTAAGCAGTTCTTTTTTTCCCATCTAATGACTCTTTATCATCTAACAGATGCTTCTTCAGCTCAGGGCTTTTGCAGATCTATTTAAAGAGTTTTTAATGACTGCTGCTGAATGGCTGAATGTGAACTACTTTAAGAGTTAAAACAACTATCGGGTTCATGCATCAGAGCTGGGAATGCTATAGAGGAATTTTCTCTGATATGATGGGAAAATTCTTCTTTCCCCTTGTGTGTTTAGTCCAGGCTGGAGTTTGGAGTTCAGGCCAAAGTCCACATAATCAAAAATGAATTTATTTTTAGGTTTCGGGGTCTGAAACGTGGTAGACATGAGGATTAAAACGTTGTCGCATGGCATTTGAGAGGAGCGTCCATCTTTGAGTCGTTCTCCATATTCTTGAATAAACGGTCCAAAAGTGTTCAGGGTGAACACATAAGGCCTCTCTCCTCTACCCTGCAGATAGCTCAACACAAAGGCATCCAGGAAGTGAAGGATCGAATTCAGCCGAGAGAAGGCTCCACTAAAGCGACGCAATGGAGACAAACGAGAAAAAGCTCCAAGAGAAAAGAGCAAAACTAAGTTCATTCATGTGAAGTTTAAAAATGCAGCGTAAGACGAGACGTTCTTGAGAAAACGGTGGGGTCACATTTTCCATTTCCCCTTCCCATCCCCATTCCCGCTGAAGTTAATTTGAGACCTTGGCAGAAGAATGAAGGAAAATGGAGGAGGGAGGCTGTGTACCGTGGACCCAGCTGATCGAACAGAACCAGGGAGGGGGGTGGAGGTAGTGGAAACATCATCCTTCAGACTGCGTGGCTCTGGATCAGATTCTGAGTTTAGACCAAATGGAGGACTGTTATAAAACCGGTTCTGATCCGAGTCCATGACTGTTTTACTGCCTTCTGCTGAGAGAACACTTCAGTTTGCAGTTATTAAACTTCTTCACTAAAGGAACCCAATCAGAGAAAGTTCTGCAGCCCTTCTGGACCATCAGACCGGCTACTGAAGCTGTTGAGGTGATCTATTCATGCAAAGATCTAACAGCCACCACAGTTTCCTGTCGTTTTTAGAAAGATAAAAGGTTTAGGAGCTGCATAGATGAGAGGAGCAGGAGGAAAACTCAAAGAATCATCTCGGAGAGTAAAAAAAGCAACAACCTACCGCTGGAGCAATCAACGCCTCTCCATCCTCTCTCACACTGGCACCGATCTGGAGCGACGCAGCGGCCGTGCACACACTCGCTGGTACAGTGAGCTGGTGAAGAAAATCAGAAAGAACCTGTTTGTGATCAGAGAGGCAGACTGCAGCTTGCATTAGATTACAGACTAATGGATGACAGCAAATGTGTCAATAGGAAAGAAGAATGGGATAAAGAGCCAGCTGGTCCATATTTACAGGAGCTTTACACAAACTTCCTGAAGTGTGCAGGATTAAAGGCCTTCTGCTTTTAAAAATGATCTTCTGTAGATTTTCTGAACTGATTTGAAGCATCTCACAAACATAAAAGCAGAACTTTTCTCTGATGAAAGGGATCTGTTTACATAAACTCAGAATGAAAGTGCTGAAACATGTTTTTCTGAGTTAATTAAAAGATCGGTTTGATTTCTGATGTTTTCATCATCATCATCTCTCTGTGTGAAATTCCAGCTGGATTAACTCAATGTGCTTTATTTTGTGTTTCCAGCCTTTTTAATTTCTAGGAGTGGATGATAGAAATAATAAAAACATCTATCCAGCGGAGTCCTCCCGTCAGCAGCAGCGATGGAGCTCGACAGCTGAAAGGCCTTTAGATTCCATTCATTCCATCCAGCAGCTTCCTCGTAAACATCAGAACACATTCTGGTACAAATTCAGACATTTATGACGAAGGCCAATCATCTCTTGATATTTAGTTACTGAGGAGATTTTTATTGAAAACAGATTTTGTTTCCATTGAAACACAATAAACACCGGTCGGACCGATTCTCCTCTTCCCTCGACGGCGTTTGGATTCAGCATGCCATCAGATGAAAGAGGCAAGCATGATTGTAGGTAATTATGGGATAATTAAAAGCCCCACACTGAGGAGAAAGCAGCTTTTGAGAGAAGATGACATGCTGGTGGGAGAAACGACAGACTTTAAACAGAGTTGGGTGAAACAGACCTTTTGTGTTTGCTGATAAAAAGTAAACTCGTATTTAAAGAGACGTCCTGCGGCTGTTTAAGGAGACTCAAACCAGCAACCATAAATAGTCATTATCTGAGCAGAACGGAGAGCATTTGTCTTCAGAAGGTCACTTCTGTGACTGCAGAGAACAGGAACCTTGTTATTACCGTCCAGCATCTCTGGGGAGGTTTGTGAAGGTAGAACGTCGCCGCAGCTAAAACAGAAACGCTTCAGTTCTCTCTCAGTCTTAAACTGAAACAATCTGTTTCTAGAAAACTCACATGAAACAAATGAAGTGTAACAATAAGGATTTATTTCTGTACTGATATTTAAAACTGATAAACTGGCATAGGTAGGAGGAATCAGGATCTTTCATGTCTTGTATTAGAGATAAACCATTGACTATGTTGAAGGCGAAGGTCGAAGGTCGCGCTGGATAGCTACAAACTCTCTCGGCTCTCCGCACCCCCACCCACCACTTGTGGATTTATGTTGTGATTACCTGAATATGTGCTTTTATGTTGAGGTGTTTATTTCCTGCTAGCCTAACTTTGTGTCCTGATGGGGGGTGTCAGAGTGGTTGTACATGTTTTTGTCCATCATCCCTCCTCATCCTCATGTCATCCTTTTCTTCATCTGCAAAATGGGAGCGCTATGATAGATGCATGCTCACAGTCAACCATTTTCCAGGGCAGCTGTGGCCACATTTTAGCTCATCACCACCAAGGTGTGAATGTGTGTGTGCACGGATGAATGACTGATTGTGTTGTAAAGTTACTTGGGCAGTTCTAGGACTCTAGAACAGTCCGCAAATGGCGCCCTCTCTTTGTGGCCCCCAAACCCCATGCGCACCCCCCACCCCCACCCCCGACGGCCGACCGGAAGGCGTAGGATAGATAGAGCTGAGGAAAATAATCAAATAATCAATGCATGAGATGCGGGCTAAACGGTTTAGCATCATAGAAGAGTACCATAATCAGTTATAGTGGAATGTAGTTGTGTTATTTTAACGGCGGCAGCGCAGCATCCACATCTGTCAGAGCGGTGTTCTCCACATTTACCAGGTAGGAAACTTTGATCTGCCTTTATGTGGTACTGCAGGGCTGAGTGCTGGAGTTATAACCTGAAACCGAACCAGAACCGAATCAGCCCGACCGGTTCTGTTGGATTTGGGCCATAAATTATGTTAATTGAGCGGGTTGTCGCGCGGCACGCTCCACTCGCTGGATCAGCGACTGAGAGAGGGAGGGAGATTGTCTGCTCACACAAGAGAGAGGATCGGAGGACGCTCCTCCAAACACGCGTTATTATTTTCATAATTTCATTATTGTTTCTCCTGGAAGCGCTCAGTCAGACCGAGTGCTGTGATGTCAGGAGATCCGGTCTTGGGGAGGGGGCGGGGTGAGTGACGGCGGCTGCAGCATAATCATCCGTCTCTTTTATTTAGGGACACGGAGAAGTTAAAAGGAGAGAGAAATAGAAGATAGAAGTTCTTGTTCCACTTTATTCTTTTGTTTCATGAAGATAAACTGATGTTAAATTCAGCTTAAAGAGAAACTGGGAGGAAGCTTAGGTTCATTTTAAGTTACAGGAGATCTTGTCTCCTATCTGCTCCTCCAGAGACAGCATGGACATGAGGGCTACATGGTGAGGGTCCCACAGGACAGGTTAGTGCAGTCACACAGCCGAGCTGGAGGGGGACAGGTGTTGTCCTGCTTTATATTGCAAGCTTGTGTGTTATGTGTGTTATGTGCATTACAGCCAGCAATCCAAAAAGCAGCAACAGGATGAGGGGGAAAATGTAATTTTTGTCACTTTCGCGTTGGCTTTACTTTTGGCAGGTGGAGTTTTCCCTATGAGATGTAAACATGTTTTCATTTCTCCGACCATTTTGCTCCACAAAATGTTCACTCATTCACTGCAAAGAGCACTATTTCACACAATCATGACTCAAGGAAAAAGTGCACTCTATAGCAGGGGCGGCGTTAGGCCCGGCTACTTGGGCTGAAGCCCCGGATGTTTCATGAAAAGCCCCGGATCTAAATCGCAGAAGTAACATGCAGTACCAAAGTCCAACAGAGAGGGAGCAGCTGGCAGTAGTTTGTATACAGCCTGCCTGAGCCTCTACCACTGAAGAAGAAGCCCTTCAGCAGCCGGCTTCTTCTACACTCTCTGCCTGAAATGCATGAGTGAAGATGGACATAAGGACGTTTTTTAGACCAAAAGTACGGCGACAGAACCCCAGCTTTGATGAGACTGGTGTTGACTCAGGTTTGTGAGTCTTATTTGAAAATATTTGTTGTGCTGCTGGTTTGCCTAAAGTTAGCTTACTATCAAGTAAAGTTGTTGGCGAAAGAAAGGGAATATTTACTATCATCTCACACTAAACACTAACAGGAACAATACTCTGCCCTGAAAATGCTTAATATGTAGCTTCAGATTAAAAATTATGTGGTACAAGACATATTTGATGTTGACTAGTGTGTGTCACGTGTGTGTGTGTGCGCGCGCGCGTGTGTGTGTGCGTGTGTTAAGCCCCGGATGTTCTTCAGTCCTTAATCCGCCCCTGCTCTACAGTGAACAAGAAAACATTTAAACAGATCAAATTATCACCAGTTCTAATATATAAGTCAGATTTTATCCTGAGCTGCACAAAAACTTGAGACTGAACAGATGTTTAGCTGACAAAACAGAAGAGACCTAATTTATGTGAAATCATAAAACTCAAATACATTTGATATATTTGGGTTTAAAATTCCAACCTTTTTCTACAAGTAGCTTGAGAAGCTCACGTGGTGATCAAACCCATAATTTGGGTGATTTATGTTCCACATGCTGCTCATATTTACTCTGAAAAAAAGAGGAGAAAAACTACTTTCTAAGAAAAAGCGATGCTGTGAATAAACGAGGAGCTGTTAGAAACCACAGCCGTTATGAGCGTCTCGCTGTCGCAGCTGATTACTGAGGAGGTTTCAGAAGCTCGTCTTTAGTAGACTGACCTGAAAACCCATCAAGTTTAGAAAAAATGAAAAAAAAATGAATGAAGTAATTCTTTTGCATTTGTCTAAAAACTGTCACCAACATTTTAGATCAAAAGCAAACTTCTCAGTGGCCTAGTGGTGTGAGTGTCCACCCTTAGACTGGGAGATCGTGGGTTCAAATCCACAATCAGGTTAAACCCAAGACTTTACAAATGGGACCCAGTGCCTCCTCACTTTACACTCAGCATTAAGAAATTGGATTGGGGGATTAGACTACCAAATAGTTCTTGAGCGACCATGCTACAGCTCACTGCTCTCCACAGGAATGGACCAAATGCGGAGATGTAACGATGACTAATGGGACGCCCCACTTGCTCACTTCCCTCGGTCCTCCATTCATTACACACTTCTGTTTTAATAACAGAACACCACTGGTGTGAGAGGTTCTCCACTCAATAATATCAGAGAAGGAGAAACAGCCGGCTGCTACCACTTCAACTTCAGGACAAACTACCAGAGTCCCACAAAGACAAACACCATTTGAAGTCATGGACAACAAAAGACATTTGGACGTAGAAATGGTGACTGGATGTTGAATCTGTTGGCGGTGTGGGACCAGTGAAGATACTAGCCTGGCCTGCCAGACTCGTCCTCTGTTTAATTTTGCACAGAGAATGAGTCTGGCAACTCACAGGCAGAGAGGCACTTGAGGGGCGGGACTAGGAAGCTCAAAAATTACCAATCAGAAAAAAGAAGGAAATGATTCCTGTGCTGCACATGGGCACTACAGAGCTACTCACGGACACATTTGTCTCCACTCTCGTAGTAACCGGGACAGCACTGGTACCTCCTGCGATATTCAGTCTTCACCGCTTGCCTGTACGCTGTTTTGTAGGTGATCCTAAAAGATTTACACAACCAAAGACCTTTTAAAACCTGGAAAACAGGATGTCTGTGACAGGAAGTGAGCGCCGCTACCTGTGGCGTGTGCATCTGTAGGACGTCCGAGGGTCCGAACACGGCTCCTCCGTTGCTTGGTCATAGGGATGAGAGTAGGACTCTTTAACTGAGGTGGTGTAGCTGAAAACAATAACATGGAATATTCAGAGTAGTAGGACCAAATCAATCTATGTGGGTTATTTTGATCCTTTCTGGCTCTTTGTTATTGATTAAACAGTATCTGCACCATTAAGATGCAGTTCAGTGACACTTTAAAACGCCATTTTCTTGTTTTTTTTAAATCTTGTGAGAAAAATGCTTTCCTAAACGTCCCACAGGGTGAAATTTAATCCTGAGACTTCTGTGCAACCAGGAGAAACATCTGAACATCTGTTTCCTACATCAGGTGGAGACCATTCCCAGATGCATGATGCCAAATGAATCTGATGAGTCATGTTTGTGGTTTTGAAAGGTATGAGTCAGCAGCTTTTTAGGCCCTGAGTTCATAAAACTGTTAAAAATGTGATAAAAAAGACAAGCTTTGCTTGAACGCTCTTGTTAGTCACACTACTCAGGCATTATGGGTAATTCTGCAACTCTTAAATGATCTTATTCTGTTTTGAAAATTTTGTGACATAAATTTGACCTTAAATGAGTTAGAATGGAAAAATTACACATTGTGAGATGGATACCTCACAGGCCTGCCTGCCGACCCTCCTGAATCATCAACACAGACGGAGCTCCAGAGAGTAACACACTAGAACCAGAACAGCATTGTTTGCTTCTAAGGCCTCACCTCTCCCACAGGCTGCACACATTGGGGTCTCTCGGGTCCAGAGAGCAGCTCAGACCGATCAGGAAGCCAAAAAGCTGCAGGACAGCAGGGCGGTACAGGGTCTGCATGGTCCTGGGGGGGCAAAAAGAGTTATGGACAACCGTTTCCAGCATGCACAGCACAGGGTCACATCAAACTCTTATTGTTTTACCAGATCATACTTGGCTCCAAGCTCAGGATTTATTAATCTAACCTATGTCTTTAACTATAAAACAGACTGCAACTTTATTTCTGAGGGATCTGATGCAAACAAAGGGTGGAAAATATCATTCAACTGGTGATTCACTTTAATTGTTTGGGTTTAATCTCCTACAATTAAGAATTCCCAGTTTGTTGGAAGGTTTCAGTAATAACTGGGTCTGTTTACCAACAATCCAACCTGCAGTAAAGATGTACCCTCTGACAATAAAAGAGTTCATTAGACGCCCTGTTGAAATGAGGCGAAGCGCCAGAACCAAGCGGAACGCTGTCTGCTTCCCGCTGAGCTCCACACTGTCTCGACAGAACATGAAACCCAACATCAGTAGACGTCCTGACAGCAGGCAGCACAGCTTCAGCACAAAGACCATCCGAGACCACAAGAAAGGATCGGCCAGGAGGAACGCAACTCCCAACTTCATCCTCGGGCTCATCTATCAGAACGCAGGAGCTCCACACGCCGCTGCTGTCCCCGTTCAAACTGCAGCAACATCTGGATCTGATCACAGGAGCAGCCAACCACAGCGTCCCGGCTCAGGGACTCCGTCGGGCTCTCAGGGAGCAGCAGGGAGGAAACGCTGTGCATCATTGTACCCCCCCCCCCCCCCCAAACCCAGCAGAAGTTTAACAGTCTGATAAAAGAGTTGTGGGAATGAAATTATGTTGATACGATCTCATCTGACAGAACCGTGGGTCGTGGAAGGATCGCTGATCTGATGACACCTTAGCCTGAATACGGATCAATGCAGTCATTTAAACCCGTCTCAGATAAAGTATCATTGCTTGGGTCCCAGTTTGAGGCTTTAATCTCCAAAAATGAATCGTTTCATGGATTTTGTATTTTTAAAAACAAACTTTGAAATGTGATAAATTTATCTGAACTTTTTCTCATATTTAAAAAAAAAGCACAAATTGAATCACATTTTATACCTCCATTCACTTTGTAGGAGTTAAGTAATTCCAAACAAACACACATGCTTAAGCATTTCTGCATGCACAAGTTCAGATTTCTTTATAAAAATATTTCAGTTGACAATTTGTCTACAAGCTTTCTGTTTTCATCACATATTAAATGACACAAGTTTTAAATCCTGGTCACAAAAATTGCAAACAGTGGTGCGCCCCAAGGGGTGGCTAGGGGAGCCCATGGCCCCTCCCTGGAAAATTACTGGCCACCCTCAATTAATCAATTAGATATAAATGAAAACACAATAAAATAAACAATAAGTAAATAAGTCAGAATTAAAAAGCGTATTTACTGCTGCTCACCATTTTCTAAATGTTCAAAAAGAAGTGTAAATATAAATATTTAGTTTTGGTAAATGCTTTTTGTTAAAAACAACAAAGCAAAATAAGCTATACGTTACTAAACGATAAATGTAATGCACCTTAAGATTTTCCCTGCCCCCATGAAATTCTTCTAGGAGCACCACTGAGTGCAAAATTAAAGTTTAAAACTTGTGTTGAATAGATGATTTTTATATTTGCTTTCATCACTAAAACTCATAATCCTTAGTTTATGCTATTTTTGCATTGATTGGTGGTGACTAGAGACAAAATCAGGAGAAATCTAGACAATTTGAAGTTGGAATTAGGCCTAAATTAAGCGTTCCACACCTTTGCAACATTTTTTTCTCTTTGCAGGTCACATAGGACATAACTGTAACACCAACATGACCTCTGACCCTTGATTTTTCTTTTCACCGCTATATCATCTCCATTCGAATTTGTGAGATGAGTCTGAGGAGTGTCTACTGGTTCTTCTTCTGGTTTCAGGTGAAATCTGACACTAAGGCTCCCTGTCTGTCTGTGTTTGAGTTCTGACTCCTTCATTTTGTGGTAAAGAAAAACATTTTCCTTCACTTTTCGTGCATTTTTACATTTAAAGTCCCCGTATTTGGGAAGCCATGGAAAATGTTACTGAAATAAAAAGATTTGCTGGCAGCTTGATGAATAATATGTGTTCTGAGCCAAGGTCAGTGGTTTAATTCCCATCAAAGAGAAATGTGCAGAGTGTTCTTTACAGGCCTTAGAGAAGACACTGAGCACAACAAAAACACTAATGGCTCTGAAACATTGTGAAAACCTGAAGAACCATCTGGTTCAAACCCAGCACTGACAGGTAGGCTGATCACACCTGGTGGTAAATTGAGTTCTGACAGTTGGAAATCAATCCCAAATAACAGTCTCCAGGGATCTTCTAAAAACCTCTGGAAATGTCCACGAGGGTTCTGAATTTTGCTTATTTGCGGCAGGAATTTTGAACTAAAAATCCACTGAGCAAACATCTGGAAAGAATCAGAGTTATCAGGAGCGTCTGCAATGCCGCTGAATCTCTAGTAAGTCATTAAGAGCAAAAATGTGAAACTGGGAATAAAATGGAGGTAAATCACAGACAAAATGAGATGCAAATTAAACATTTTGTGACCAAACAGACACAAAAATCTGCACAACTTAAAATGTGCACTCTTCCTGCAACATTAAGCTCCGCCCATCTGTTGGAACATCAGCCACACCTTTGTCACCATGTAAACATTTTATTTTTTGTTGTAGTTTCATGTTTGTAACTGGTTTCCATCAGCTGCAGCCCAGTAAGTGAGACCATGACTTTACTGTTCAGACCTGATTAACCTGAGCTGCCCTATAACCAGCTGCATCGCTTCAAAAGGCAGAAGTTTGAGAGAATGAGAAGAAAATGGATAAAAATGAAGTTCCTGTTTCTGATAAACCTCTTTTCGCTCCCCACCTACCCGTCGTCAGGAGGGAATTCACTCTCTGGCACAAACACCCAACCCATCTTTGCCACAAAAACAACATTTTATAAGAACAGACATGTGGCTTTTATTAAGAGGACTCAACAAGTCATCAAGCGCCACTGAATTGGACTGGGGGTAAATACTTTTCATTACCTTCTCCCAGTTTTAATTGAGCTTCATTAAAGAAAGGCTTCAAACCGCACGGGGATTCTTAAATGCTGAGAAAGAGCCTAATGAGTGCAGATGGAGTTGTTTTGAAGTCAGCTGGTGTTTGCGTTACATGTTTGGGTTCCCTACAGACGGGGTGGGGGGGCAGGTGGACGTCTAGGACTCCATGTGGTCCCATCATCACCTGGAAATCCTCGCCGATAGGTGTTTAGGTTAAATAAGAAGGAACAAGTTCTGATCCAGACCTCTGACACTCAGAAGAGTGAACCTTTGTCTCCTTCGGGTCTTTTCCAAACTGCAGTTTGGCTGCAGCAGGAAGCCTAAACAGCACCAAGTCTCACCAGAGCTTTTCCACCCTACATGATGCACAGAACGTGGACCGAGATCAGTAAAAATACTTAACTGTACTGGTTATGCAACGTGTAGAAAAGAGCAGACAATCATTCAGGGCCCTTTGATGTGGCTTCATAAACATGCAGAAAATGGCTAAATAATACACACACACAGACACACGCACGCACGCACGCACACACACACACACACACACACACACAGTCTTACATGGACTGTATGGTTTTATGTTTTGGAGACAAATACGTTCCACATGCAGAAACGAGATCAGAGAGAAACTATTTTTAGTATCTGGAGAAATTCACCACGTCGGTGCTGACTCACTGTCAGAGACGGCCCACGTTTACACACACAAACATAGAGCTGCTGCAGAATAAACTTAAAATGGAAACAGAAGCATGTTTTTAATATTTGAATCCTAATCGAGTCCTTTTGTATGGTTTTAATCATCATCCCAGAGGGTTTGAGCCTTTTATTGGAGTTTACAATCAATTTCGTGCTAAGAACACCAGGAAGCAACAATCTGAATATTTCGTTAACTTTGACGTTCAAAGCTTTAGTTGGTTTAATTAAATGTTGTTGCAGTTGGGCAAATACCTCACATCTCCAAAAGAACAACATTTCAGGAAAAGAACAAATAAACTGTGAAGAGTCACAAGTCAGGTGTCTCACTCTTTGAGAAGTTGAATATTACAGCCCAGCTCGTGGGACTACAACATAAAGAGGAGGTGTGGACATGTGGTGTGAATTTACTTTTTATTTTTTATTAAACCCAGTCATTTAAAAAGAATCACTGAAATGAAAAACAACCCAGAGCTCTGAATGAGAGCTCTCTGATCTTTGCAGCATGACCAGGAACGTGTCCCTGAAATGCTTTTAGACAAGCTCATTACCTGCACCCACAGATGCAGCCGCTCAATGCAATAGGAGCTGCACAACAGCCAGACCACTGAAGGTGCTTATGAGGATGTCCCATGCAGGTAAGCATCCGGTTGCATTGGCACTGCAACATGTTTGTCTGCAGGATGGGTGCATCAATTCTTCCAGGTGGGCGGGCCTCAACAACAGCAGATGGGTGTGTTCATGCATGCAGCAACTGCAGAATGAATGTTCTCAGAGATAAAAGTAATAAATACCAATTCAATTCAGTTAGGTTCATTTATACAGCGCCAAATCCCAACTAGAGTCGTCTCAAGGCACTTTACAGAGTAAACATTCCGGTTATGCCAATTAGTTAAAATGTCCAATGTGAGGAAACCTTTAAGATCGCATCGAGTCACTGACTTGTGTCAGACTCTACAGCAATTCCATGTAGTGACAGTGGAGAGGAAAACTCCCTTTTAACAGGAAGAAACCTCCAACAGCACCTGGCTCAGTATGAGCAGCCACCTGCCAAAAAACATATCTAAAAATAGATAAAAGGTACATTTATGATAAATGACCCGCACTTGTGCAGCATATCTCTGAGTCAGAGGACTCCAGAGCACTTTACACTACAACGAATCATTCAAAAATTCACACACTGGTGGTGATGAGCTACAGTGTAGCCACAGCTGCTCTGGGGTGCACTGACAGAGGCGAGGCTGTCAAACACTGGTG